TGTTCTTGTTCCTGTTTCAAAGTCTTTGCCCACAATCCAGCATAATGTAATGATAGGTGTAGATTGTATTGTCACTCAATGGTTGGGGATTGACTTAATGTATAACTTGGGTTTTCTTTCCTTCTGCATCCTATTTCCATACTGTATTTTACTCAATGTTGCACTGAAAACCTTCAGAATAAAGATTGTCAAATAAATAATTAAAAATAAATATTCTCATGTAGGCTGACCATCTCGTTTTGTTGTTTTTCAAATGTCTTATTGAATCACTTTATACCAGAGGTACCGACTGTATATTCTATATTAAAAATCTTAATAAAAATCTATAGATGAAAGAAAAAATTGTTTAACATTGAACAATATGTCCACTTCAATGAGATGATGCAGATACATTGCCTACACTGTCCCATTACCTCTCTCAAAACCCTGTTCTAGCATTTTATCTGACTCCCCCAAAAAGCATTACTGTACATTACAAAAACATTACATTACAGTGCCATAGTTAATATGGAAACTGAGACTTTCCATCACAAGGTCAAAATTAATTCTTCACATTTAATATTTTACATTTGTATTTGTCGAGAGGAGGAGGAGGTCTTTTAATCTTATCTGGCATAGTTGAGTTCTCGGTTTTATTACAGATAAGCTAATTTTGGACAGAGATTCAATGCACAGCAAGAATTAGAAACACTTGTTTAGTGCAAATGGTCATTCAATGTATGGAATGTGTTCGATCATAACATTAATATAGTAACATTTCTCAGTGATAGATAATGGCATTAATAACATTTCAACGTGGTAGATAATGGCATTAATATAGTAACATTTCTCTGTGATAGATAATGGCATTAATATAGTAACATTTCTCCGTGGTAGATAATGGCATTAATAACATTTCTCCGTGGTAGATAATGGCATTAATATAGTAACATTTCTCAGTGATAGATAATGGCATTAATATAGTAACATTTCTCCGTGGTAGATAATGGCATTAATAACATTTCTCAGTGATAGATAATGGCATTAATATAGTAACATTTCTCTGTGATAGATAATGGTATTAATATAGTGACATTTCTCAGTGATAGATAATGGCATTAATATAGTAACATTTCTCTGTGATAGATAATGGCATTAATATAGTAACATTTCTCAGTGATAGATAATGGCATTAATATAGTAACATTTCTCAGTGATAGATAATGCATTAATAACATTTCTCCGTGGTAGATAATGACATTAATATAGTAACATTTCTCTGTGATAGATAATGGCATTAATAACATTTCTCCGTGGTAGATAATGGCATTAATGACATTTCTCTGGTTAAGCTCATTTAAAAAGTTCAGTTATAATACTGTTTTGTGTATAGAAACATTAATCAATCTGCCTGCTAAACATCAAACTCTTGTCCATCAGATTCTTTGCTGCTGAGATAGTCTGCGGACTTCAGTTTCTCCATCGATATGGCATTGTCCACCGGTAATTAATACTGAACTATTTATAAGGTGTTTTCTCTACACTGGGAGTTATATCTTTCCAATTACACTTCAATTACGCTACCATTAAGCAGGAACTCCTGCAAGCTCTCCAGAGCTAAGACCCAGGAGTGTAGGTCATTTTCTGAAGTACTGAAGGGCAGAGCTTAGCTCTGGAGAGCAAACAGATGTTCCAGTTTAGGAATTCCTGTTTCTCTAGCAATGACAGAGGAGGCAGTGATCCCAGGCAAGGAGTCCTAATTTTCCAAACCGATTTAACTCCTTACCATTAAGCAAGCTGTAGTGGTTATGGTGCTTGGAGTGTTGCTTTAAAAACATTGCTCCTTCAACTAACCAATTTTTATCTGGACATTTCACATTAGAGAAATATTTACAATGATAACTCTAGCCCAAAATATCATATATAACATTTTACTTTGAAAATAACCTAGAGACTCCTCACTGGCAGTTTCCTAGCACCATCACAACTACATGAAGCAATAGTTATCCCTTGTTCTCTCCAGATAACTTTGAAGGTGTTCTCCTTTCTTTCTTGATCAGAGCATGGGAGGTGTTACGGTGTATTAATTGTGGCAGCAATTGCATTGCAGAGGACAGCTCTGATTCAAGATATTGCTAGCACAAGCTTGTGGGCAGGGCTGGATTAAAGGGATTCTCTAGTGCCAGGAAAACAAACCTGTTTACCTGGCACTGTAGAATCCTGGAGTGCGCCCCTTCCTCCCGCCCCCCATCTCATGTCGCTGAAGGGGTTAAAACCCCTTCAGACACTTACCTGAATCCAGCGCAGAGGGTCAGGCTCCGCCCACGCTCTTCCCCGGCCAACGTCCGCCGGCAGGTGGAGACCTAATGCGCATGCGCGGCAATGGCCGCGCGCGCATTAGACCTCCCCATAGGAAAGTATTATTTAATGCTCCCCTATGGGGATTCCAGTGACGCTGGAGGTTCTCATGCATAGTGTGAGGACTTCTCGCGTCATTTAGACAACCAAAAGTGGTCTAAGAAGCCGGAAGTCCCTCTAGTGGCTGTCTGGCAGACAGTCACTAGAGGAGGAGTTAACCCTGGAAGGTAATTATTGCAGTTTATAAAAACTGCAATGATTACACTTGCAGGATTAAGGGTGATGGGAGTTGGCACCCAGACCACTTCAATGGTCATTCAAGGGGCTGATTTTTTTGACACTACTCTTGCTACATGCTCTTGATTAAGTATGGAAACAAAACTGGTGTCGACTGGCTGACAATAATATTAGTTAAAGTAATGCTGACTTTGAAGCAGCAAGAGCATATGCATAGTACACACTCTCTCTAACACTGTGGCATGTTCCCTTTCTTCTACACTCACTACATACACGTTTTCTCTGTCCCAAACTGTATAGTAAGAAGGTCAGGAGAGTAGTGGACCATTTATGCCAAGCTCAGGGTGATGTCTGCACAGTATGCTCTTGGTTGGTCATCCTGAATGATTGGCAGGCAGCCTGATGTGTATTCATGCCAGGCTGACCATCTACTTCTTTGTGCATACACGACTCCTTTTTAGGCATGTTTGTCCCGTTGGGCAGTACTAGTTACGTGATTCACATCAGTGGCCCATCCTTTTACCCTGCCCACCGAAATCCTGCTTCACCGGACACTGTTGTTAGGAGATATGTATTTACTTGTAAGATGAAAGCGAGAGATTCGCATAGGGTATGTGTTTTCTGAAGGCTCTATCCTGTAAGTTTCCCTCCAGCACCAGACGCTTGGAAGGTATAATTGTTTTACTGTTTTCTGTCGATAAGATTCTGGTATTAGGCCCAACATAATTGTCAGCACCAGGCCCAATGGGCTCTTAATCCGGCCCTGCTTGTGGGGCTCACCAGAATACTGGGAAATTTCCCGGTGGGCCATCGGCACCTGGGGCCGGTCAGACAGCTGGCTGTGCTGGCGGCCACAGGGTGAGTTGAGCTGCGATGTCTTTGTTCTGCTCCCCCGTGCGCTACTTCGTCATATTCCGGCCCCGGTCTCATTGAGCTGCACGCTGAGGAGCAGGACAAAGACATCACAGCTCAACCCACCCTGCGGCCACCAGCACAGCTTCCCCTGCGGCTGCCAGCACTGAGCACAGCCAGCTGTCTGCCCTGCACGACACCCTGGCAGGTTTGTCAGTGTGAGTGTGCGTCTGTGTCAATGTCATAGTGTGTGTGTGTCTGTGTCATGGTATGTGCGTTTGTGTGTGTCATGGTGTGTGTCTGTCAGTGTGAGTGTATGTGTGTGTCTGTCTGTGTCATGGTGTGTGTGTGTGTCTGTCTGTGTCATGGTGCGTGTCAGTCTGTCAGTGTCAGTGTATGTGTGTCTCTGTCATGGTGTGTGTATGTGTGTGTGTCTATGTCATGCTGTGTGTGTGTGTCTGTGTCATGGTGTGTGTGCCTGTGTCATGGTCTGTCTGTCATGGTGTGTATGTGTCTGTCATGGTATATGTGTGTGTGTCTGTCTGTCATGGTGTATGTATGTGTCTGTGTGTGTTTAAAAATAGTGTTTTTACTCACTTTTTTTTTCTCCCCACGCCGTGCTGGTCTCCCCTCGACTGGCCCTGCCTCTATGACTGATATCATCAAGCTTGATGATCTCAGCCAATCCAATGCTTTGCCATAGGATTGGCTGCAAAACGCTACACTCCTCATAGAGATGCATTAAATCAATGTATCTCTATGGGGAACCTTCAGCGGCTCCAGAGCGTGGAGGCCCTGAATGTAGGTGCTGCACACTGTGCAGCACTAACACAGGAAGCACCTCTAGTGACCATCTGAGTGTCTGTCACCAGAGGTGTCACTAGGAACCAATGTAAACACTGCCTTTTCTCTAAAAAGTCAGTGTTTACATTGAAAAGCCAGCCAGGCTTGTGTGTGAGCTTGCTGGCATAGGTGTGTGTGTGTGTGTGCTCATGCTAGTGAGTGAGCTTGTGTTTTTATGTCAATGAGCTTATGTATATCAGTGAGATTGTTTGTCTATCAGGCTGTGTATCAATGAGCTTGTGTGTGTCAGTGAGATTGTCTGTGTCTGCATGTGAGTATGCTTACTGTATAATTAAACGTTTTACTCTGAACGGACCAATATTTCATGTTAGAAAAAGAAATATTTATTTGAGATATATATTACTCAATCATCTGGGGTGGCAAGACATAGCCTTACATATTACATGCGACAATATATGGCGCAATGACTTATGGCACTGGCATAGATTTTTTTTTTCAGGGCTGATTTGTATCCCCAGTCCGGCCCTGCTTGTGGGGTCCTACTACATTAAATGGGGCACCTGCATTCCACTTTCTCTGAGACATACTAGCCTAAATAAGACATTGGCTAAAGGGATACTATTGTGACAGGAATACAAAGCTGTATTTCTGGCACTATCGCTCTCCTTGCCTCCTTGGTGAGTAAAGGGTTAAAAACCTTTTATCAGAAATTACAGAAACAGGACTCGCTTTTTTTTCTTTACAGAGATATAAAGCCCGATAACATCTTAATGGACAGCGTGGGGCACCTGAAGATTGCCGACTTTGGCTTAGCACTGGAAAACATACGAGGAAGGAAAAAAGCCAAAGAACACGCTGGAACCCTGGGCTATATTGCGCCAGAGGTGAGACCAACACCATGGCTTATGTGCATACATTAAATGGCTCTGCAGCAGTTAGGCTCGCTATCCATCCCATGAGGAATACATTTCCAAACGAAATCAAGAAATTACAAGTTATTTTTAATGTAGTTCAGTACGTGACTGGCCTAAAGCTTCACATCTGGGAGCACACGTGTTGTAGTGCACATTCTGTGTGTAGTTGGGATGACTAAATGTATACAACCATCCCTTCTGAATTCAACTAAACCATTCACACATTTACTCACCAAAATAAATAGAAGATTATATGTAAACAGTTGTTTGGCGAGAGGTGGATTTGGATTCTCTGAGTGTGTGAAATTCCTAAGATATGTTGTCAAACACTTTAGCAAGAAAGATCCAACGCTTGGTGTTTTTTGTAAGAAATAAACAATTGAATTTAGGGCTGGTGCAAGGATTTTATGCATTTTGCCTACACCTCCCCCCCAAAAATGCATCTTCGTCTGTGTGTCTCTTAAACCCCTCTTGAATTTCCGTTTGTCTTTCTTAACCCCTCTTACACCTCTTTATGTTCTTACACCCCCTTTAGTCTTATTCCCCATTTTTCTACTTTTTATGTCTTATTTTCCCCTGAGCCCCTTCGTGTGTTTCTTAGTCCCACAGTCACTCTGTGTGCCAATTCATCACCCACAGTGCCTTTGTGTCTCTTTTTTTTCTCTTCTCCTCTGTGTGCCACTCCCCCCAGCACTTTTGTGTGTCGCTTTTCCCTCCACACCCCTGTGTGTGTTTCTTTTTTCCAAGCCTGTTTTGTGTGTCTATTTTCACCATCCTCTCTGTGTCTCATCCTCCCCTTATCCAGTCCATTTGTATTTCTCTTTCTCCCCCCACAGCCCCTTTCGTATACCTCTCTTCCAGCCCCTTTTGTGTTTCTTTCTCCACTTCCCCTGTGTATGCAGGGCCGTCTTTAAGGAGGGGCAAAAGGGGCAGCTGTGCCGGGCCCAGTTACTCCTGGGGGCACTAAGGCAGCTGCCCCATGAGTCCCCTGCAGCACCTGAGGTAATCAGGGGCCACAGCCCTTTAATACTGCTCTGGACCGGGCCCTTGTAATATGGGGGTTGGCTGAATACAAACACACAGCTAGCCCCTCACACACTGCCCTGTGATCCCTTTTCTTCTCCGTGGCATGCAGTCACTTCCTCCCAGCAATGATAATCTCATCACAGGAGGCCCTGTGACCGGGCCCCCTGACAATCCATCTCCTTTGGGTGGCCCTAACAGCATGGGTCACCCAATGGACCCCTTCATGTGCGGCCCCGGCGGTCGAAAAAGATGCCGGCGGGTATCCGCATGGCGGCCAGGCCCCCTGGAGTGACGGGCCCGGTCGCAGCTGCGACCCCTGCGACCGCGGTATGTACACCACTGGATTCACCACTGGTGTCTAAAAAGACACTTTTTACTTGGCAGGATTTGAGACTTTGCTTTCTGTTAGAGTTCTTTGTACTATCGGTTATATCAATTGCTGTTTGCTTTTTGTTTTGTTAATAAAGGTAATTAAAAGTTTATTTCACACACTCTTCTGTTCCTCTTTACAGCTCCTGCTGAAAGAACCTGCCATGCGGTTGGGGAGAAAAGGCCTAATCCGTTCTCACAGCTTCTTCCAGTCTATTGACTGGGAGGAGTTGGAGGCCGGACGGGTAGAGCCTCCCTTCACGCTAAGTACAGTAAGTACATCAACAGAAAAGTTAAATATAAAGCAGGTTATAAATCTGCCTATAAAATCTTTAAAGAGAGAAAATGGCCAAGTGAGGTGGGTGATACCATTTGGTGGATGTTGTTGTCATGTGACCGGTGGGTTATCTGCAGATTCTATATTTCCTGCTACCTAAAGATGTTGCTACATAGTAAAATGAGCTTTGCATAAGCATTGGATATTTTTTTTACCAATACTGTACAATCTTTGATTATATCTTAAACTGGGCATTGTGAGGAATTTTTAGAGGATTTTTTTTTTTAGTTTGTCCAAAAAGCCAGACTTGAAAAAAAAAAATATAAATAAAAAAATTCAGGTATTTCTCCAGCTTTGTTGCTCTGACCCAACTTTTTTGGCAAAACCCTTATTAATTCTACATTATTCCGGGTTCAGTAAAAAAAACAAACAAAACTATTTGTTTAATGAAGCTCTGCTCAGCACATAACTACAAAACAGTAAAATAGAAGAGTGTTCCATGCATTGAAAATATCATAAAAGAGAGATTATACTGATTTCTCCTTCCGAGTTGACAGGAAATTAGCTATCCTTTGCTTCATATTTTCCCTCACCGGCCCTCCACCCGTTAATATTTCCTCCTTTACATTTCTTCCTCTGACTCCTCTCCATTTTTTATTTTTTCATTCCTTCTTGTTACCTCTACCCATATTTGTGTCCTTAATTTCCCCTTATGTTTTCTTTTAACTCCCAAGTGCGGCATTATATAATTTATCTCGATATTGTATATTTCTTCCCAGCATATTATATATAAAAATATGTTGATACATAAATTACAAATTTAAAGACAAACATGCATGGGGAAATGTTTGAACTGGAATGAGAAAAGACTGAAGCACATGATTATGCGCTGTGCTCTGTGGTATGCTAAAAAGTGTATCTCTCGTCACATTGTAGCCATCTATGGACGAAGTGAAATCAGTGGTGATGCAGGAGAAAGCCTTATCATCGGCAGAACCCCTGAAAACACCTGTTGGGCCAGAGAACCAGAAATTATTCTGTGGTTTCTCTTTTATTAGCCCGCAATTTAAAATCTCATCCCAGTCCACAGCAGCTACTCCGTTGTAGAGAATCAACATCTGCTCTCTATGGCCTGACTGTGGACATTGCCAAGGTAAGGTAAATGCTGAAATATAGATAAATTGGAAATACATATGTATTACAATCATATTAATTAAAATATATGACAGGCCTTTTGGGGGGCATTGCTGCTGTTAAATCAGTTAGTAAATAACATTTTGGTGTAACTCAGCATTTTGGTGTAACTCAATCCAAGCAAAATGGTTTTATGGAAACCGAGAAAAAACAGCGACACCATTAGCTATTTACTAAATGGCATGGCAAATTTACGGGCGTAAAAGAACATGTTTTTAGCATAAATGTCATAGAGACCTACTTTCTTCTGTGGTACTGAAACAGTGATAAGCTAACAGAATCTTTGATAATAAAGTCTTTGAAACCTCACCATAGAGAGCTGATGGCAAGACTTGCCCAAAAATGTGGTTACATGTAAAGTAAAAATCTTGGTTGAATGAGAGACCTGTTACTCGACTATGATTGGTTAGCTTTATAAGTCAATCGTAGGAGACTAAAAAAAAAATTCAAGCTTTACAAATCCCTATTTACCACCCAAGGATTAAATGACCAGAGGCTACTTCTGGCATCCTGCCGTGGGAAGTTAACCCAAGCCAGCAGAGGAACTTGTGGTGAGACTCTCTTCAGAGTTCCCAAAGACATAACTGAGATGCTGTTTAAATTAACCCATGCTTTGCAGTAACACTTAAAAATAAGGTCTTGCATTTTTATACTGTACGTTTTTCATTTTTAAGTTTTGCATTATACCTGCTGAATAAACTGTTATTGTAACACTATGGGCACCTTTTATTCTGTTTAAGGTACATCAGCATCCATCTCTCGAAGGAGAAGACTGGTAGTGTCCGTAAGACAAACTGTTGGTAACATATATAAGAACTTTAACTATGTTGTTGTATTTATCATAATAGTAATAGTGTAAGTTTTAAGAGCTCTGGCTATTGTAGAGATGCATAACAATACTCACATTTCACACTTTTCCCCCCCAGACAAGCTTATTTTCTTAGGCAGAAGAAACAAAAATTCAAGACATTCAATGAAGACTCTCGTCCCATAGTGTTACAAGGGACAGTAGGAGTAGGTGTTCTCTGACCCTCAATTTGGATTAAAGGGATTGGGGACTACCCTAAACCTTAAATGATATTACCATACTTCCCACACCAGGGAGAAAGGGGTGGGACAATTCGTCGTGCCCTTAGTCTGTAAATTCTCTTTTTGAACTGCTTACACACAAGTTGAAAAAAAAGGGGAGGCTTTTCGGCGGGCTGTCTCTGATTAATTATGGGAACAAATAAACTCACTTTTTAAAATTTGTTTATTAACAACAAAAAAAGTGTATAAAAAAAAAGTGTATGAGAAAGTCAGTCTGCTATTTCCTCTTTCGTTACATGCGGAGGTCTCAGAGATGAATTTTGAGACTTATACTCAGTGACTAGAACCCTCCACAAAGCTGGATCGGAAGAACTCTCTGGACATGGAAGTTATCGTCAAACTAAAGGATTATTTTCTAAATGTTTGCAATAATCGGCCCAGAAAATAAATAAGTCCCCAAGAGCTGGTCTTCTAGACAACCAATTATTTCAAAGTAAAATTATAACTGTCTAATCAATTTTTCATGGCAGAAGCTGTACCCTTCAGGAGCATATACGCTGTGTGGAAACGCGAGAATTTTAAAAAAATGTTTATTCGCCATTCATGATCTACTGGACCAGATACTGGATTAAGTTGTAATCTTTTTGCAGGAAGAGCAAAAAAATTATTAAAAAAATAAAACCAAAACCGATGGGCATACCACTATTTGTGGTAAGGAATGTATTCTTGGCACCTCTGGAATTGTATTTCTAGGACTTAACTAAGCATCTGCTCAAGAAAGGTGGACCTCCTCAAAAAGGTAGTGACCACTATTGGCACTACATTCAGTTCCCTTGCACTACAAGAGGAAGAAAACCATGTAGCAATTTATTGGATTTCCAAATTTCTACATTTCTTTTTAGTTACTTCAAAGATGGTACCAGCCTACTGTACTTTCACAGAAGACAATATACGTGGTCAGAAAAAGCACATGGAGCCTTTGAAAAGGTGTTTTACCTGGATAATGTCTGGAGCTGGATATAATACAATGGTGTTCTTTGGAGGAACTTCACTCAAGACATTTGTATGGCTGTCTGGGTGACTCACAGAGGGAGGCAACAATATCTTTCAGGAGCATCTACTCCTTGTGGAAACATGGAAAAATTGATTATTCGCCATTTATGATCTACTGGACCAAATACGTGGTGTTCAGCCTGGATAATGTCTGGAGCTGGATATAATACAATGGTGTTCTTTGGAGGAACTTCACTCAAGGCATTTGTATGACTATCTGAGTGACTTGCTATGTGAGGCAACTATATCTTTCAGGAGCATCTACTCCTTGTGGAAACATGGAAAAATTGATTATTCACCATTAATGATATATTGGACCAAATACATGGTGTTCAACCTGGATGATGTCTGGAGCTGGATATAATACAATGGCATTCTTTGGAGGTGGTACCAGCCTGCAGTACTTTCACAGAAGACAATTTACGTGGTCAGAATAAGCACATGGAGCCTTTGAGAAGGTGTTTTACCACTTCACCACCACAACTATTCTACTACTGCCAGATCCATAAAAACTATACAAGACGACCCTGGATATAATACAACAGCATTATTTGGAGAAACTTTACTCAAGGCATTTGTATGACTATTTGAGCGACTTGCTATGGGAGGCAACAATGCCTTTCAGGAGCATCTACTCCTTGTGGAAATATGGAAAAATTGATTGTTCGCCATTCATGATCTACTGGACCAAATACATGGTGTTCAACCTGGATGATTTCTGGGGCTGGATATAATACAATGGCACTCTTGGGAAGAACTTAACTCAAGGCATTAAAATGACTATCCGATCAACTTGCTAAGGACATAGATATACCTTTCATGAGCATCCACTCCTTGTGGATGTTGTTTGGTGGATATTCATTGGGCAAAATGTACTGAGCTATGTCTGCTCTTGCCATATCCACAACCAAAACAACCTGCAGTATTCTGAGGACACTGATCTACTGCAGCCCCTGTCAACTTCTGTAGGACATTGGACAATTAAACCTTATTGTTGATGTGGATCCTTCGCACAAATTTACCTCTATAATGGTAGTTAAACAGCAAATGACAAAGTTGTTCCATTTGATATCGATCTGTGGATTGTCTTCAGCAAAACAGTCGACAATTCTTTTCCAAAAGGATATCTTCTGCTAACTTATGTGAAGAGCACGCAATATTCAGATCTGACTACTGCTTCTTTCAAATGAAAAAGAAAGGATCTGTGGAACAAAAGCTATCAGCTAATTCTAAGGAATACGAGTCTTGAGCATCATTGACGGAATTCTTTAACTATAAAGTGACATTTGGAACAAATGGCTTTAAAAAGAATCATTCTTCATTACTTGGACCCGACACCTATTACTATTTACTGATTTGTAATTCTATGATTCTCTGCAGCATTTATAAATGTTCACTAAAAAGTATTCAAAAAGTGTCACTCGCATCTATGTAATGAATGGTGTGTGAATCTGTGAGTACCAGGAGACATGAAAGGTGTGTGAATGTTCAGTAACTAGGGTTGAAGCCTTGGCGTGGCGTTACTGCTCACATGGATAACCATGTGCTAATTCAACCAATCGTGTGTCTAAAGCTGTTTTGACTGCTAGTTATTTATATCTGTTTATAGATCCCTGCTCTAGGTGGGGAAACAAAGACCAGAGCTCAGAGCAAATTAATACAGTCCAGGTTGTATTGAACTGAAATTGATCATCTGAAAGTGTAAATCCCACATTATCAACATGACCAATGAGGAAGCAGCATGCGAGCACCAACTGAACTCAGTTTTCTATCCAACAACTCTGTAATGCTTCGACATAACCCTTGGGGATGGTGATAGGACACTCCAGGCAACATAACCACTACAACTCCATATTGCCTAGATTGTCCTATTTTTATCTCTCTTTACATTTTATGTCAATGTTTTGATAAAGTTACATTTCTACATTAGCAATACAAATGTAATTATTTAAACAGCACTCAGAGAACCACGTCCACTCACATATCCTAGAAGTGGGGATTATACTACTGTACCCTTTACATACTAAAGCTGATTGTTAGCTCTGCTAAATGTGAGTATATCTATATTTGATTTTATTCAAGAAAGTTGATTGGGATATTCTGCACTATTGGATTTGTTCTTTTTTCTTCTTTCTATATATATGCCTACAGGAACTGGAAGTTACCTCTGATACAAGATTGTACATACAAGAAGAATACCTTTCCTGTGATCTGACCTGTTCCCTTGCAAGTTGCATGTTATATTTTTGGACATTATTGTGGACTATCACGCCTACATTTTATATGATTCTTATATCATTTTTTATAAAGTTTCTGTTTTTATTTAATTTCTAAACAGTTAGGAGTACAATAGAACACTGACGCTACCTTCTCTCATTCTCCTTTTTATTTTCTATTTCCTCTGTGGTTTTGGGGTTTGTGAGGGAGTCCCACAGACCTAGGTGAACGACCTGTTTTTGTCTGTTGTGGCCTGTTAGGGCTCATCTACTGTTCTTTTTCTCTGTATAAAAAAATGTTGCCTAACTGACACTGGACGTCGTCACACTTGTAGGGCTTCAAAGTAAACAAAAGAGCGAATTTATTTTAAGGAGACATACATTAGCATATAACTAATGTTTCAGTACAACTACCTTGACATATTAAAAAAGTGTTTGGTAATGGGACTGAAATAGTGAATGTATGCTGTTGCACAGCTTTAAAAAGCAAATGACTTTATCTTGTTGAGTCCTATGAGTGTGTTCTTCACTTTGGCTGAGATCAGCAAACTTGATAATCTCAGCCAATCCAATGCTTTCCCAAAGGAAAGCATTGGGAGGCTACTGTGCATGTGG